TACAACAGCAACAGCAAAAACCAAACGCATGTTTCCGGACTTCTCGACTTGGCAGTTCGATCATCTGGTGAATCAGCTGGCGTTTTTCATTGTTACGAACGAAGTGTCAACAATTTTTTGAATACGCTTTACTTACTTGCCTTTCAAGACTTTATTAACAAATAGAAAGAAAAAAAGTAACATATTTTGTTCGTATACTTGCAACGATACAACTAGATTTCCCTATTTTATTGAATGGTCATAATAATTAATATATGATTAAATGAAAATATTATTCTTGGAATTATTTTTGATTTTCCTTTGAAAATTAATTAGGCTTTTGTATTTATGTCGAAATGGGGTCTTATCTCTTGGGCAATTAACGTTAATGAACGGACCGTTTACTCTCACGCCCGATTATTACTGGTCATTAGAGACAGAGAGTAAAACAACAACACAGCTACAACCATTAACCATTTAAACGAATCGTTTCATGATCCAACGATGAATCGAGTTTCTAGATCCACTGAGTGCGTAGGTGTGTTTAGTTGTTCGTTTTATTCATTGTACGGAAATATTCAATAGGAACGTCTGTGCCTACACTTTCTTACTTCTTCAATTATATTATCGTGATGCATGGAATTCGTGGAAATTACGCGAGTATCTCTCTTCCTCTTATTATTTTTGATTTTGTTCCTTGATATCGACACGTTATGGCGTAGGCCTACAAAGGAAATGCATCCCACAATGCTCCCGTTTACACTAACTTTCTTAAGAATTGGATAATTTAAATTATCTTTACGATCATCTCTTTTTTTTTTATTCGTTTATGTAAAGAGAGAGAGAGAGAGAGAGAGAGAGAGAGAGAGAGAGAGAGAAATTGAGAAAGAGAGAAGAAAAATGGGAATAACGAAAATAAATCATTGTTCTTGATTATTTTATACGTTTTTGTATATGTGCAAGGAAAAATTCATCGAACGCAATGAAATACATGAAAATTCATCGAAAAAATTCGTCATATCAAACGAATATTAAATACTCAATCGAATTAATAAATATTTATTTTAATGAGTTTCTTCTATTTCGAAACATACTCGTTAAATGTTTCCAATCTAACTGATCGTATGAATATTTTCGATTATACTTGACGTATTTATTTTTGGATAATGGTTTTTTCCTTTTTTTTTTCTATATAATAATAACCACCACGTCAATTAATTGGCCCTTCTTCTTCCTTTTTTTTTTGTCTTGCAATTTAATATCATCGCGATTTTATTCTCTCTTCGTCGTTTTAAAAAGAAGTTTGAAAATGAAAAGTAAAAAGCCAGAGTACTTTTTTTATTTTTAAGTAACGGAGTAATTCGAACAAGCCTAAACTCGATGGTTGGAATGGTATTAAAAGTTTCTTTTGCAAAAATTTAGCTATACATAGGCAAAGGGTCTCTCTCTCTCTCTCTCTCTCTCTCTCTCTCTACACACACACACACACACACACAGAGAGAGAGAGGCTTATATGTATACGTAGAAAGGACTCGGTTACCAAACTAACGTTGGTATTTGTGCTAGTAAGTTACGTATATATACTATACTACCTTCATCCTCTCTCTCATCGTTTACAAAACTTTCGACCATCGTCCTGGTTAACGGCATTTTACTCTGGCATTTTACCTATCGTCGTCCCTGTTCTTCTAATGTTCGCGACCTACCATTTTACGAACTTCAGAGGTAAAGTGGGAAAGAGAAACATAATAATATAATACGGATTTATCGTTCATAGAATGGGCGTTATTATTACTTTATACCGATGATAACGTGCACGAACATTATCGCATCGTTTTATCAAAAGCTCGTGGCAACACGTGCATTGTTTACGCGTTAAAACAACAAATCATTTATTGTATATTATTTTTAATCTTATCGAACAAAAAGTCACCGTAGTGATTAACCATTTACGCTTTACTTATTGTGAAAAAACCAAGAGTGTACGCGTATCTCGTTATGTATCTCTCGTCATATATGTTGTTAAGGGAGGAAAGAGAGGAGGGATAAACATTGAAAATCAAGCTACTTATTATATACTTGCTTAATTATTATTACATACTAAATTATTGTATCAAATCGTGCTACGCGTGTGAATATGTGTTTATGAAATAATTACGATGAGAGAGAGAGAGAGAGAGAAATAGAGATAGATGTAGAGCAATTTTTATCCGTTTATTATTATTAAATTTATTAAATTTTTTATATTGAATTAAATATTATATATATTATTATAAAATATTAATATAAAATTATAATTTGATATATTATTATATATTATTATTATTATATATTACATAATAATATATTATATATTATATATTAAATTTTAGTCCATTTTTAGAATAAAATAAAATAATACATTTTTCATATCTTGAATAAACCTTATTAAATAATATAATTGTCATCATTATTTTTGACTTCCTATAAGCGTGATAAGGAATTTGTATATCACAATTTTTAAAAAATGCCTTATTTGTAGAGGTAAAAAATTGAACCAGTGTTTGTTTAAACGAACAAAATCTTAGAATTTAGAAGGTAAACCTAATCATCAATACCTAAGTTATCATCAAAATCTAATTAATTATAATAATACAAATTATTCATAATGAGTCATTTCTAGAGGAATGTGTAATAATTTCTTTTTATACTTTTTTCATTAATACTTATAATAATTGATAATGATAGCTTAACTCCGCTTTTTAATGAAAAATATTTTGAAATATCACGTAAGAAACCCGTTATTTTTTTTTCTTTTTTCATCCTAGCGTAGTCAATACGATATCGATTGCTT